CCAGTCAAGTTGATAGCAATTTAGTGAGACTCCCCAGGGGAAATAGATTGATCCAAATATTTGTGGGAATGGTCTCTTAATTTGTCTTTATACTTACCGATCCATCTTTCAAAACTATTCTGTTTTGCTTGGTAACTCAACATAATTAAGAGACATTTTTATTGTTATTTCACACATTCTTGATTGCTCATGTCTTCAATCTCTCTGTGCGTTAGTTGTATACAGGGTCAACCATGCTGTGAACGGTGGAATCACCTTGCACCGATTTCTGTCACTACCTCTCTCCCTCTTGTTTTCTATTCCCAGTTCTTCATGCCCTTCACCCTGCTATGCTCTGACCTTGTGCCCCCATCCCTATATCTTCCTGTTCAGTTGGTGGCGAGGTACGTTCCTAATGCCCTCTTGTTATGTGCTGTGTGTCATGTGTTACTCCCAGGTGTGTGGTTGATTCCTGTCCCTCTTGCAGTACCTTGGTTCAGGTGGACTATAGGTGTTGAAGTAAGGGAGTCACCTGCAGTGCAGGATACAGGTGGAGGATGTAAGGTAATATACAGGAGTGTGCAGACACGTCACGTCCACACACCATAGCCTTCATCATCCTGACTGTACCTCAACATGGTTCTGGAACTGAAGTTTTTCCAACCTGAAAATAAACCACGCCACTGTTAGGGTATATTGTCTGCCTCAGACTGCTGAGTCTAATCAAATTTTACATTTTTCTTAATTTTACAAACTTGCATGTTATCCATTTACTTTAAAAGCCAAATTCAACTTGTCTTTCAAAAATGATACAAAGGCAAAAAATTAGTGACCATGATATACATAAAAAATATACAATTCTATTTTAGCTCACAAAATATTTAGTACAATCAATGGAATAAATTGCCAGCCTCACACCACTTACTCTTTGACGAGGTTAGTGTTCTCCTGAAAGGCCTGGCGTATTTCTGCAGAATCAAGATTTAGTGCTTTTAACCTGAGGAAAAGAAAAAATGCAACAGTAAGAAAAGCTTCACATTCTGCAATGTAACCTGTCAGATTCAAAACATGTTTGTTCTCTATCTGCATTATATAAAATATTTTGAGCATTTCACATCTACAGCAGCAACCACCTTATCTTGGTGCACCCACATATTTTTAAAATTCAAAATGTCACACTTAAAATTTTATAAAGTTATACTATACTTATCATATTGCATACTTCAATGCTTAAGTTGACACATGTATTGCAGACACTTTACAGTGCCACAGTGCTGGGAAATATATTCAGGAATTAAATAAATCAGCAGAGTAAGAAAATAAAAGATGCAGGTTTCATGAAATTACTGAAACAGTTTTCAAATCAATAATATTCAAATCAATAAAAATAATATTAAAAAAATCAAATGCTAAATCATACTCTTCCTGTATCTCTCGTAGAAGCTGGTTTTCCCTTTCCTTGGCTTTTCCTGAAGAAGGTCTAGAGCCAGTACCTTGTTGCTTAGCAACAGCAGAACCAACCAGGGGGGATGTTTCCTGTCTTTTTCCTCCAGAGCTTAGAAGATCAGAAACTGTCTCAAATTTTCTTAAACAATGTTCCATTTTCTACAAAAGTAATTATAATATGTGAACATTTTTTGTTGACTATCAAATATGTGCTTTAAAAATGGACAAATGTTGAAAAATTAGATTGAAATTTTCATGACTGCTTTTATCCATTAATGTTTGTTGACAATTCAGCCAATGCTTCTTAATTGTATATTCACAATGATTTTGTTTACAGTTTTAGTTCTTTTAGTTCTGAGGCTACAACTGGTATGTATTAAGTGTAAAAGGTGACCTTAGCCGAGTTCATAACGCATATCAGGATATCTACCTCATCTAAGATGGTTGACAGTCTGCTTTGTTTTTCAGTAAGATTGTCTATTCTTTTCTTGATCTTGCCCAGCTTAGTGATAAATGTACAGACAAACCTGCAGAAAAATAATTACTCTTATTCAAAGTGGTATACATCATATAATACTTACATAAGGAACCTGGGAATATATATGAATGTGAGAGCGATCATTTCATTTCAAGACACTGATTACAGACATATTAATATGACAATTACAAATCTAAACAAATCTATGCAAATTAACAAAAAAAAATGTTTCATGGAAATTTAAACAGCCCTTAGATCTCATCAGCTTCTTGTCAGACTCTGAGTGTCATGTTCTACTGCTAAAACAACTTACAAGAAAGCTTCTTCAAATTTCTTGAAAACTTTTCTGAGGTTTGGGTAACAATGATCCATTGCAAGAGAAGTTGCCTTGGTGCAGTTTTCATTCATTTTATTCCTGGATAATACAGAAAGTACCATTTAAATAAAAGGAATGTCACAACGGTTGGAATGGAGATGTCTTGATGCTAATTAATTAAGGTTACAATTGCAAGTAGAGTATTACTGTTAAAGGTAACGAAATCTGAGTCCAAAATGCACTTACTTTTCAAACTTGTGAATCTGCTCATCATTGTACGGTAACCTCTTCAACTGTTTGTCCCTTTTAAATTCCTCCATAGTTTTGTTGATCTGCTCTGACAGGACCAGTCCCTTCTCAACACTGGAAGTACACAGCCTTTATGTCTTATCATAGTTAACCAAGTTATGTCTCATCATAATCAACTAAGTTATGTCTCATCATAGTCATCTATGTCCCATAATTGTCATCTAAGTAATGTCCCATAATACTCGGATAAATAATATTTCATAAAAATCAGCTGTCTCATAAAAGTCAGATACAGTCTCTCAACTGACAAACTTTTTCCAATGTCATGTAGTAGACAGAAAAAGTAGCAGTGAAAAATAAATTTCTGTCACTTATTTTAGTAAGAAAAAGAACACATAATAAGCATGTTAACAAAACTTTATCTGGCAATGTTCAATAATTCAGGTCGAGTTTGTGCATCCATAATTATACACCAAACAGTAAAAGAATCTGACAACAAACTGGACATACCATCTCTCTGTTTCCAAGCAGCCCCAGTTTGATTTCCATCTTTTAGACAACTCATCATCTATGACTACACCTTGACAGAACTGATGGACATAACTTTTCAACTCTTCTGTGGATTTCACTGCCTGTGGATTGGATTAAAGAAATGCGGAATTATTGTTCAAATATATTACCAATTCAACTCTCTTTCCCTCTCTGTCACTCCTCTCTCTCTCTCTCATCCTTTTAATGTCTTTCTTAAAGTCCCAGGAGTCATATATATACCCAATGACACTATCCTTCTACACAGATTGAGCCAACTTCTGATCATTTTACCAGTTAAACACTCTTGTTTCCAATTTACTCATGTATTCACCAGGTTTTCTGCAAACTGCTCAACCCCAGGAAGAGGTGAATTAATCTTATTCCATGCAGCTAGAAACCCCGCAGATTTAGTTCAATATCGTAGAAAGATAGTTTCACTGGGGTCAAGCCCTTACTATCCAGTACAACTCTACACAACAGTGCCAACACTGTGATATATCTGCCCTAACACTGTGATATATCTGCCCTAACACTGTGAAATAAAACACTGTGACATATCTGCCCTCACACTGTGATATATCTGCCCTCACACTGTGATATATCTGCCCTAACACTGTGATATATCTGCCCTCACCTCCTGACAGGGGACAGCAAGCTGATTCTCTGCTGCCTGTAAATCCTCCTCAAGAAACCGCACCTCATTGGGCGCCTGCTCCCCGCGCAGTGACGCCAAGCCCTGCACCACGCACACTATCCTGTTCAGAGACCTTGTCGCAGTCTGCAGACGTTTGTGTGTCTCCGTTATCATGATAACAATAAAGACATTGGATTCCTGGTAGCCTGATATCTCAAACTTTATGATTTGTCTACAACAAAGGGAAGTTTATATATTATCAATAAAAAAATCAGGAACACGCATGTTACTATTACAGAAAGTAGAGTAAACTGGCAGAAAGAGGAACAAAGGTTCAAGAGTACAAAAATTACACTGAAAAAACATAACTAAAAATCTATCCAAGCACAACATAGACAGCAAAAACCCCTGTAAGGCAGACTGTGGAGCCAAATTATCTAAGGCCCCATTCAGAATAGGGGACTAACTAGTCCGAGGGTCAAATATAGCTGACCCACTTGAATATTTCCTCAAGGGATATCTATTTAATGTCAATTAGCAGATTAGACGGCAAATTTTGTAGTGGGTCGCCATATTTGAGCCTCGGACTAGTTAGTCCCCTATTCTGAATGGGGCCACTCTCACACATACATGGTAATCATATATATATATATATATAAATATCTCTCAAGTTCTCTATACTCACATGTACATTATAACTGTATATTATATATATATCTCTCAAGTTCTCTATACTCACATGTACATTATAACTGTATATTATACAGATATCTCTCAAGTTCTCTATACTCACATATACATTATAACTGTATATTATATAGATATCTCTCAAGTTCTCTATACTCACATATACATTATAACTGTATATTATATAGATATCTCTCAAGTTCTCTATACTCACATATACATTATAACTGTATATTATATAGATATCTCTCAAGTTCTCTATACTCACATATACATTATAACTGTATATTATATAGATATCTCTCAAGTTCTCTATACTCACATATACATTATAACTGTATATTATATAGATATCTCTCAAGTTCTCTATACTCACATATACATTATAACTGTATATTATATAGATATCTCTCAAGTTCTCTATACTCACATATACATTATAACTGTATATTATATAGATATCTCTCAAGTTCTCTATACTCACATATACATTATAACTGTATATTATATAGATATCTCTCAAGTTCTCTATACTCACATATACATTATAACTGTATATTATATAGATATCTCTCAAGTTCTCTATACTCACATATACATTATAACTGTATATTATATAGATATCTCTCAAGTTCTCTATACTCACATATACATTATAACTGTATATTATATAGATATCTCTCAAGTTCTCTATACTCACATATACATTATAACTGTATATTATATAGATATCTCTCAAGTTCTCTATACTCACATATACATTATAACTGTATATTATATAGATATCTCTCAAGTTCTCTATACTCACATATACATTATAACTGTATATTATATAGATATCTCTCAAGTTCTCTATACTCACATATACATTATAACTGTATATTATATAGATATCTCTCAAGTTATCTATACTCACATGTACATTATACTTGTATATTATATAGATATATATATCTCAAGTTCTCTATAATCACATGTACATTATAACTGTATATTATATAGATATCTCTCAAGTTCTCTATACTCACATATACATTATAACTGTATATTATATAGATATCTCTCCAGTTCTCTATACTCACATGTACATGGTCATAGCTTTATCAAGGAGCACCTGTTGTAGATTGATCAGCCTCAGTTTTCTTACTATATACTCTGTATTACCAGCACACTTCTTGGCTAGAGGGTAGTCATTCTCAAGAGAGATGCTGGTCCCAAACTTGGGGTATTTGGCTGAAAGTTTGCACATTTATATGAGAAGATATACTGTATGTAATGTGCTACACCAGAGGGTCACTCCAGGACATCTTTAACTACAACCAATGAGTTAACATTTTTAGTTTTCTTCATTGTTTCAAGGACTCATTATGCTGTTTCATTATACTCAGTAGCTGCAAGAGAGAGAGAGAGAGAGAGAGAGAGAGAGAGAGAAAGAGAGACTGCATGCGAAAGTGCTGTTTGTAAACACTCACGTATTTGCAATTCTGGTAGTCTGGTGAATAATGCTGAATCCACATCAGTGAAATATAAGAAAACTGGATCCTGTGGTGACGTCTTTGGATATCTCTCCACCAGTGTCATTGATTGCACTATTTTGGTAAAATGGTGATTTTGAAACAGTAAAAACTGCGCACTTGCTCTGATATCAGTCTGTTCTGCTATCGCATCTTGAAACTTGGCGTACGTCTCAGTCTTGTTGATGTATATAGACAAACATTCACAGGTGGCCGTGGAGAAAACGTATACTACCACCTTCTTCATTATGTCTTTTACAGTGGCAAAAAACTGATCAAATGTCCACATTCTTGATGATGTATTTTCCATAAGCCCTGCTAATAATGGTGTGACTAGAAGTTTAAGTCCTCTGAAATATAAAAAACAAACTCTCTATTTATGAACACAGCTGCAAAGATTGTACCCTATGACTAAAAAAAAAATTCAATTTCAGGCTATCAAATTTACCAAATTTATCATTTATTATTGAACTAAAGCCTTGAATAAAAACTGAACTCTCAGCTTGTCTAAACTCTCTGCTGTTCTAAAGGCAGACCCAGCCATCACACCTACTTTGACAGCTGACATGTGTTAGGAAGTTCTGTACTGTATTCTATAGGACCATTCTCTGTAGACTGTATCCCTGAGATCACACCAGAGTCCTTGTCTGCTGTGATTTTATGCCTGAAATTTGGAATCAGATCATTTCTGAGCATTGCTTCAATACCATTTCTTCAGTATGAAGTAAATTAAGTAAGTTTTTGAAATTTATACTTAAATTAATTTAATGAACTTTCAAATGTTAAAATTGTAGTGGCAAGTGGTGTAATATTTCATCCCTGTTAACTTACATCACTTCTTTATTCCGTCTCCCACCAAAGGGTTGAAACGGCAGGTGCCCTGTGGCTGTGTGGTACAAAGTGACCCCTAGTGACCACAAGTCCACCTCCTTCCCAAACAATTGCTGGACAGGCCTCCGTAGAACTGCTCGCTCGTACATGTCTGGGTACTAGAACACAACATGATGACTGCTATTATGCTATTCTTCTGTTTTCTTTATTTCTCTCTATTTATAAATCAATTTATCTAATCATTTACTTATTCATCAATGCAGTTATTTATAATAATCATAAATCCTTTCCACATGTAATATACAAAGTCATCTCTCTCTGTACCTTTGAAGTTTACTATCATAACCAACTCCCAGTACATGTAGTATACAAAGTCACCTCTCTCTGTTCCTTTGAAGTTTACTATCATAACCAACTCCCAGTACATGTAGTGGAGTCACTATCCTGTGCAGAGTTTGCCTTTAAGTGCAGAAAACTAAGCACTGTTAACAAATAACATTTCTGGCATGTTGAAAAAATTTACAAACTTACCAGATATTCCTCAGTTCCATACAATGATACAAACTGTTCCGACTCTTCCAGCTCTCTAGCTGCACCAAAGTCCGTCAATTTATATATAGACCTAAAATAATGTCAAAAATGATTTAAAATTTATTGAATACATTTTGATTGCAAATATGTTAAAAGAATCAACAATCTGCATGCAGTTTGGTAACATATGTATCGGTATAACGTATGTATCAATATCATTGTGCTCTTTAATGTCATAGGTGAAGCAAAAAATTTCGCACCAACTGCTAGTTTTGTTTCATGTATACACTAATGATGATAAAACTTCACATATATCAAAGGAAAGTTCAACACCAATCAAAATGTCCTGAATACAAAGTATGTCAAGTATAATATATGAAGATAAGATCTGGATAACTTACTGTTTGTCTTCCCCAATGCTTCTCATTATATTTCCTGGTTTGATGTCTCTGTGTACAATATTCTGATCACGAAGATATCTCATACCTTCAGCTGTAACAAAATACACACATTAAACATGGAGATATCTCATACCTTCAGCTGTAACAAAATACACACATTAAACATGGAGATATCTCATACCTTCAGCTGTAACAAAATACACACATTAAACATGGAGATATCTCATACCTTCAGCTGTAACAAAATACACACATTAAACATGGAGATATCTCATACCTTCAGCTGTAACAAAATACACACATTAAACATGGAGATATCTCATACCTTCAGCTGTAACAAAATACACACATTAAACATGGAGATATCTCATACCTTCAGCTGCAACAAAATACACACATTCAACTATGTCATATCAATGATCAGTTGGTCTCAAACTATGACACTCACCAAAAATCCATGTATAATCCAGCTACATAGCTACCAACATCATGTGACGTCTCCTTCATTCCAGACTTCCACCCACACAATACTACACACATATTCCACTAACTTACCAACATCATTTAATACTTCCAGAAATTCAACTTCTTCCAGACCAAATGCATTCTCAGGTTTTTCCAACATGTTGTACAGAGAGCAGTCGCACAGTTCCATCACAATGATACGGTTTCTTGTATGTTGCTGAAGAGAGAAAATGAATCTTTACAGGTAAACAAGGAACATATGACGTTATTTATACAGCACAAAAAAAAAAAATCCTTTTTGTGTCTGTGTGAATTGTAGTGGCATTTTCTGAATCCACGTTATGGTAATTCTCTCTTGACAGAAAAAGACAGCCAAAAGAATGCAACTAAAACAATCATAAAACAAGGATCTTTGCCCCTTCAGTTTTCTTTTTCAATAGTAAGAAATTTCCCTTTTTCTTTTTTTTTTCTTTGTGAAGGTTTCATTCCTCATTGACAGGTGTTGGTTCATATTTATATATCATTGCATGCTGCTGGTTGTATCCCTTGTTTATGTGAAAAAAAAACTTTAAAAAAAAGACAACACTTTTGGCATGGTAAATTTATTTGGTAAATATACTGATATGATAAATTAAATAAAAAAAATGTTCCTATTTCTAGAACTAGCCAGATGGTGGCTGTACTGACCTCTTCCTCAATGGCCACCATGGACACAATATTTCTGTGGTTTAACTTCCTGACCACATCAAACTCTCTGGTCTGGACATCAAGTGGACGGTAGTGACTGACTGTGTTAAAGGTCTTCACAGCAAACACCTCTCCTGTACGCTGGGGAAAAGATAGAAAGTAAAACAATAGTGACTGACCGTGTTAAAGGTCTTCACAGCAAACACCTCTCCTGTACGCTGGGGATAAGATAGAAAGTAAAACTAAAACAACCAAGGATTATACCTGTATATATGTGGCAAAAATATGACTTCAAAAGCATCTTTAATTAAATGGGAAAAATAATGAAAAATGATAAACTATCATACAATTTTTTTAAATACTAAGTTATCATTATAGTTTTAACATAAGCAATACCACAAACTGAATTCTTAAAATAAAAAGCCATTATGAATTTATTGAAAATAGAGAAAATCATATTTTTGTTAAAATATCCAACAAAGGCCGTTTTCAGGTTCAAAACACAAGTGCTGCTCCCTCTACTTTCTTTTATTGCTAGGAGTTTAATCTCCCATTATAAAATAAACAAACATAAGAACATGTGTATGTATCAAAACACAACCATACTAAATGACCTTTATGTGTTAAAGGAGGTTCCAAAATAAAAAAAAGCATTTAAGTGAGCTGTTGGACCATTTTAGATGCTATGGGTCAATCTTATATAGAAGTAGTATGTATAAACAACACCAAAGAAGTTAATTTCAATAGTCAATTATTAAAATACCAACCTGTAGGAGATTGTGTGTCTGAAAATTTTGTTAAGGAATTCTCCCTGTGACCTTACATTTGATTGGTTACTGACAGAAGGGGATTCCCCTTGAAGGAGTGCCAGTATCGATATGTGTCACCTCTACATAAAATCTCCAGATTGGATAATTTTGTATTCATACACCAGCTCAATGGGTAAGAACTACTTTATCTCACATTACGATGTCGATTATCTTGTCATTTGTTCATGTTTAAACTCTGATGGGTATTTTCAACATAATTAATGATATTTTGCATCCTACAGATGTATGTGCAGCAAACTGTGGCAGTCACCAAGTGTTGCACAATGCATGGCGCGGGACACATAATGTTATCAACGCATGTCATGAGGGATGAATATAAGTGCATGTGGAACAATGAAAAACAAAGGTAAATCTTTCAAGTTTGATCAGAGCAACACTGTGCAGTGCTGTATGCAGAAGAGACAGGTCACAGTTAGGATGGACTGGAGCATATCCCGAGGGATAAATTAGTGGAAAAAACAATAAAAAGCATTACCATGGAGATCAAGCCCACTGGCAATATTGGTTTGGCAGACAGCCAAAAGGTAGGTTAGCAACTACACTGCTTATTTCACTTGAGAAGAAACAATTTTTTTATGGTCAAGTTATTCAAAATTTAGAATATAAATTTTTGGCTGAAAACTTTCAAGTTGTTGGAAAAGAAACACAACTTGTAAATGTGAGTCACTATTATATGCTGGGACACATTGTCCTCAGGGAAAGAGAGCAGAACAACACTCTTAATCAGTCCCTTGAGCCGAGAGAATCATATGTACTGTACTAGTAGCAGGTCTGGTATTGTCAATAACTTATCCTGACAAGCTAAGCTTCTGAAGTGCTTTATATACAGACAAACTGCCACCCACAAGTAGGGCGCGGTGTCACGCGTGAAAGACGTGTGGTGGCAGGGTGTGGTGCCATGCGTGGGTGACACATTGACTTGTGACAGTTTATCTATACTACTGAATAATGCAGCTTCATATTTAGTCATTTTCCAGTTCAACGCCAATAGTTACACCTTTAATAAAATACACTTTATACATTTTAGTCATAGAAATGTCAATGTATGACTGACTGACACCAAATAGAACCTATTGATTATCAAGGTGTGGGCGCTTCAGATTCGCTGCTTAGGTCACTGATAAACAAATATATATCGTGTATGTGTACAAACCTATACAATGGTATTAGTGCTGAGGGCATCAAATTATAGGTGGAGGAGTGCCAATTCATTCCGATAACTAAGAATTTTACAATATTGCAATCTAGTAGTGACAATCTAGTAGTGACAGAGTGGCTATACAGCTGCTTATTTTAAATATTAAATTCTAGACTTCAAGGCATCCACAAAGATAACTATTACTAAATTTACCTAAAACATTACATGAATTAGCTGACATCATTTTCAATATTAACACAGAGGCAGTTTTATTATCAATACCTACTTTTTAAAAAAAATCTTGGAAGCTCATGTTTTCAATCATTTGACAGGCTCCCATCATTACTTGACAGAAAAATTACTTAATTGTTGATATGATTTTTAAGCAATAGCCTCAAAGATTTAAGCTGACAATTTTCCATTTCTTTTATCTTGTGAAGTTCATCTACATTAACTGGAATACTAACAAGTGTTTGGACGTTCGACAAGTAAGCACCCCATTCCCATGACTCATGAATCCAGGTTTTCATTCTTCACCCGGTTTTCATTCTGCACCCAACTTGAAACGACTCGCATTAACAGTAAAATATGAATAAAGATTTATTTACTGTGATCTGTGAATTGATGGTTTTTAAAATAAAATATTGCAGCCCTAAATACATTTTCAGAGCCACATGACCAGGTGGTACCATATTGGTGCCACATCTATACTACAAGTATTCTCACCTTGTGTCGACACCTGTATACAGCTCCCGTGGCTCCCTGCCCGAGAGGATCATTTGTTGACCATACGTAGCTAGCAGAGCCTCGTAGGTTAGACGATAGCTGGGACATCACAATTTACTATGTGAACCTCTCTGTAAGTATAAAGAAATGTAATAATATTAACAGTGTTATATTACAGAAAAGACAACAATATTTAGTTTTATAGGGATTAGGCTAGTTATCACAAAACATGTATAAATAAAATGTTTCCATGTACAGACATTGAGGCATCGTCCCTATAGGGGTTATGTTACATGGCTATTTTTTTTTTAATTTCTTAAAAATTACTCAATCAATTTAAATAGATTTTTTTTTCATTATGGTTGACTGGTACAGTATTTTCTGAGGTTTTTAAAGCCATTTACCAGGTCAATGATTGACCAATCAACATGACAGTTGAGTGTGGTAGCAACAACCACTGTAAAAGCCAGTACTACTACTGCTCTGAGAGTGATACGCTGTACATGTAGCATATTCTAGGACCCCATTCCCACAGATTTTAGATCGATCTATCTATCCCTGTGGGGAGTCTCACTAGATTACTGTCAGCTTAGCCGTCTTAAATGTCTGTCCCGCCTACTAAAAGCTGTAAGGGGGTAATTAACTACCGTGCGCCCTCGGCTGACAACAATTTAGCGTGAACCCCCAGGAAGTTAGGTCGATCTAATTAAGGGATCGATCTAAATCTATGGGAATGCACTTTAAGGGTCCTTTAAAAGATAGAAATGGACCAATACAGACCACTAGGTATGCATAGCAAACCTCTCTGAGATCACATTTGGGTTCTACATCATAAAAATAAGCTTACCATTGCACCAGAAAGATGTTTTATTTAACTTCTTGGCAATCAAAATGATCCATATATAATCAGTCTTATCTTACGGGGGCGACTCGCTGGTCCGAAGGTTCATTGGTCAGAAGGTTCATTGGTCCGAAAAGTGGTAACATTTTCATCGATTTCTTATTCAAGGGTTCATTGGTCCGAAGGTTCTATGTGAATATTCGGACCAATGAACCTTAGGACTATTGAACCTTCTGACTATTGCTACGGCCCCTATCTTACAAAGAGTAGTTGAAGAAATCCTAATTTGTTTGCCAATATGTATGTTATCTATGCCTACGTTGCACTACCATGTTGCATACATTTTTGCAGCTTTTTTTCTGGTACTTTAGTCTAAACTTTACAGTCTGAATGATTAAATTGGGGTTTTCATGATGTCAAATTCTGTCCTTTGCTAGTTGCTTCAAGCCTTGTTGTGGACTTCACCTCGAAAATGGCGACCTTGACCTGATTTCTACCTCAAAGGTTGTAATCGCGCAAAAGTGAAGAAAAACTTTCTAAAATTTCTAAAAAGTTTTAGAAAAATAAGACTTTCTTAAAAGCTTTAGAAAAATAAGACTGTCTACCTTTTAAGTACGGTATGCTAAGGTTACCTAGAGTAAAAGCATACTCCAGTCTCAGTGCAGAGAAGCATTCTACTCCGTACTCAGCAACATTAAAGCTGCCTTATTATATGGCTATCCCCAATAGCTAATGGTCCAGATTATGTCTGCGTTGCCACGTTCGTAAAGATTTATTCAATACAGCTTATTCCGATAGATGGCACTATACAACACAATACGCACTGGTCCACGCTCGGCTGTCTCCTTGTTTCCACAGAAAACAACTTCATAATACCATACTATAGTCGGGGTCCGCCATATAGATAAACGTCCCAATAAAATATTCGTCCCGATAGATACGTCTCTATACATACACGTCTCAACAGATTTACGTCTCCTTATATTTACGTTCCGATAGATCCACCAACAGTTTCCTATAAACCCACGTATCTTTAGATCCAGGTACCGCTAGATCCATCTATCTGACATCGTAATTAATCGGCTAAAATGCCGATATAAACTTGAGATACAGGTATGAGGCTTTCGAGAGATAGTCTGGATGCGAGTACTGACCCACTCAGTGAGATGACTTAATTACAACCTGATATTTATTTATTTATATATTTATTAGGTGTTCAAACAAGACATAGGCCTACATGTACGTTCGCGTCTACACGTCTTTACTATCGTTTACTATCATTTACTCCGGTCCATTCCGCAATGTACGCACGTAACTTCATCAATGTAAACTACTTGGACATAAAAACGACACAAATTCGTTATTATGTCCAAGATGTAAGTAACTTCTATATACAGCCGATTTTTGCCTGCAAACTTTGGGTATGTTTGTCAACCATACAGTAGGCCTAATGATTTCTATCAAGTAGGCCTATACAAGACAGATATCAGGCAGAATCATTCATGAAATGCCCAAATAAATCATACACAGTATAAAATATGAAGGGTTTACTTGTAAAACTCTTAACATTATTTCATCAACTTTTGCCGAGTTCTTAATTGACGGGGGTGGTGTGTGTGTGTGTGTGTGTGTGTGTGTGTTTTCTTGGATTAATCGCCATGAAAAAATATATAATCTTAGGTTCCTGTCAGAAGCCTTCATAATCAAAACTAAATGAATGTAACATGAAAATAACAAAACATCTAGTGAAATCATAAATTTCTGTCAGATAATGCATTAGTAGGCCTAATGTAAATTACCCGAGTATTGCGTAAAACGATCTATAGTAGAATGATAAATTGCTGAAAGGATTAATATGTGTACTCTCGTTTTAAACAGTGCATTTTATGTACTGAGTAGTATACCAACCATTTTGAGCAACAGTGTACCTGTAATGGATCTATCGGTATTTGGATCTAAAAAATACGTGGATCTATAGGTATGCGGATTGAAAGGACGTGGGTTTATGAGGACGTCGTATCTATAGGAACGCAAATTTATAGGACGGTGGTAAAAAATCGGATCTATCGGTATTTAAATTTAAAAAGACGTTTTTTCAGTTTTTCCTTTATGTATCTATCGGTAACGGGAGTATAGGGACGTGTAATATTTTGGGACTAAATTGTATCCGTACGTANTGATGGGTGCCGTGTTAGTTATAAATTTTGATTCTGTATAGCGGCTGTACTAACAGGCCAGTGATACAGTGTTGATACGGGTATGTACAACGCTGTGATTGTTATAACACTGTACCATAGTGGTTTGTATGGAAATGAAATATTATAGGAACGTGCCAACGCCAAAGGAGATCGTTAATTTCATATGTGCACGTGGTAAATGTATAAAAACATGTTACATGTATGGGATTCTTGTTTAACCTATTATATCGTTTAGATTGGTATATGTCTAGCCTATCACATAGAAAACCTCGAGTAGCGGAAAGAGGGAAGGAAAAGTGAAATGATGCAGTGGATGATTCAGTCTCTGGCATGGGTCGTCTGCATTAAATAAATCGTTATTTCTTACGTGTAGTGTTAAATATTAATTAACATATCGACAGCGGTGTAACTAACGAGAGAGCATTCAAAGTTGTTACCATGCCAAGGTCATTGATGTCGCACTGCCCGGAGGTCAGCAGATGCTGTAACCTGTCTATACTTCCAGCCTGTGCAGCCATGTGAAGCAATGTGTCCTCCATACTGGCTGGTGGCCAGTATACTGTAGACATTCCAACGAAAAAGGCAACGTATGTCTTAATTTAACTCGTCTGAAATAAAATGGATAAGCATCACAAGTTGAAATATATAAAGAGATGAAATGTGTAATATAAACTGACTTAATATCAAAAGACCCATGTATAATAAATGGTGCAGCTTGGCACAGGGACGCCACCGTAGCATAAATTACACAAAAATGTCTGTGATCTCAATCCGGCTCCTATCTGGCGTGACCCCCCCCCCACCCCCCCACACACACACACGCGCGCACGCATCCCTGGAGAAATGTTCTGTGCAGCGTAAATGTCGCTATTAATGGTACTATTAGTGTTATCATTAAATCATTTCTTCTCAAATGATCCCTTAGACTTAGACGCATTCAGGTCTAAAGAGAAAGTAATATCAAATTAAATTACCCACGGATATCCTACCTGACAAACAAATTCATCAATTATGTCATGACAGAGGAAGGAACATTGTACCAAAATATTAACAGCAATTCGTCACCCCAGTGGTAACGAGGTATATGTCACTCGTTTATATCTATTTGGTAGATAAATCACATTTCAATAAAATACCTGGTTAACTTTCCACTTGGAAACAGCCCCTACAAATGGCGGCTTTCTATAATTAGAGGTGACGAGAGGGGATTTTTAAGGGAATTCCCCTTAATTGCTGTTGATGTGTTTGTCTCAACAAGCGCAATAGGTTTTTGGTCAATCAAACAAGATCATGTATGTGACAGAGATAAATCTGATTGAGACAGGTGGAAATTTTTTATACACAGTCTGTTCATATACTCAATTCAAGATAACGATACAATGGCGTACGTAGTTGAGGGGGGGGGGGGGCACAACGGGTTACGTGTGACCAACTTGTACATACTGGGGTACAACTTGTATGAAAACCCTTTCCCGTTTCTACTTCCCTACGAATATTTTTTTAACAAGCGGTATAAACAGAGAATAGCAAGTGAAACTCTATTTCTATGTCCTATATATAATAATAAAAGTTGCTTCGTCTGCTTTGTTGGGGTCCGCCATATAGATAAACGTCCCAATAAAATATTCGTCCCGATAGATACGTCTCTATACATACACGTCTCAATAGATTTACGTCTCGTTAAATTTACGTTCCGATAGATCCACCAACAGATTCCTATAAACCCACATATCTTTAGATCCAGGTACCGCTAGATCCATCTATCTGACATCGTAATCGGCTAAAATGCCGATATCTACTTGAGGTACAGGTATGAGGCTTTCGATTGATACTTTAGTCTGGCTGTGAGTACTGACCCACTTAGTGATGTGACTTGATTACAACCTGATATTTATTTATTTATTTATTTATTTATTTATGTATTTATTTATTTATTAGGTTTTCAAACAAGACATACATGTACGTTCGCGTCTACACGTCTACATTTACTATCGTTTACTGTCATTTACTCCATTCTGCAATGTACGCACTAACTTCATCAATGTAAACTACTTGGACACAATAACGACATAACTTTGTTATTTTGTCCAAGATGTAAATAACTTCTGTATATATGCAGGCGTAAATTACGCCGATTTTTGCCTGCAAACTTTGGGTAATGTTTGTCAACCATACAGTAATGGTTTCTATCAAGTACAAGACAGTTATCAGGCAGAATCATTCATGAAATGCCCAAATAAATCATACACAGTATAAAATAAGAAGGGTTTACTTGTAAAACTCTTTAACATTATTTCATCAACTTTTGCCGAGTTCTTAATTGACGGGGTGGTGTGTGTGTGTGTGTGTGTGTGTGTGTGTGTGTGTTTTCTGGGATTAATCGCTACGAAATAAATATATAATCTTAGGTTCCTGTCAGAAGCCTTCGTAATCAAAACTAAATGAATGTAACATGAAAATAACAAAACATCTAGTGAAATCATAAATTTCTGTCAGATAATGCATTAGTAGGCCTTATGTAAATTACCCGAGTATTGCGTAAAAACGATCTAGTAGAATAATAAATTGCTGAAAGATTTAATAAGTGTACTGTTGTTTTAAAAAAGTGCATTTTATGTACTGAGTAATATACTGAGCAATAGTGTACATGTACCTGTAATGGATCTATCGGTATTTGGATCTAAAAATACGTGGATCTATAGGTATGCGGATTTAAAGGACGTGGGTTTATGAGGACGTCGTATCTATAGGAACGCAAATATATGGGACGGTGGTAAAAAATCGGATCTATCGGTATTTAAATTTAAAAAGACGTTTTTTCAGTTTTTCCTTTATGTATCTATCGGTAACGGGAGTATAGGGACGTGTAATATTTTGGGACTAAATTTTATCCGTACGTACCCGCTTTGTTTGCCAAGCGAATCAAAGTAAAACATTCTCTTTCTTGAAGAAAGCAAAACATTTTGAAGAATAGCCCGATCAAGCTGACTTTGTGTAAATATACAAAACATCCCTTTGTCTTTTCAATTCGTCAATTGTGTAATCCGCTCCATGTTTGAATCAATCACTAGTGACCCTGTAGCTATACACCTTAGCGCTAGCGTTTACATGACTTCACAATGAGAAGTGGGAGGAGAGACACTACACAAACGCACACACACACACCTACACAAACGCACACACATACACACACACACACACACACATCATTCCTATCAGTGCAAATAACCATTCAAATCATTTAAAACTGGATTATTATTTTTTTAGCGTAACAACACATTCAGGTACAAACCGAAACCGAAACGTCAAATTCCCCAGCTCGCTCTTTACGCGCAAACACTGCAATTTACATGTTGTCATTCGCAGTTTTTTACCGAAATGTTAACAACCCTACTACATCTCAGTTACGTACGACTAGTTGTATGTCACCTGTTGATACTGATGTCAAAATTTGATAAAATATCACGTTAACTTACCAGCTGGAAACGACCTTCACATTGGCGACTCAGCTGCAGGTATTATTAATAGAGGTGACGAGGGGGATTTTTAAGGAATTGCTGTGAACGCACGACGTCATTGCGAGGGTCATTGAGGGACACACACACACATACAAACACACACACAAACACACACACACAC